AGATACCGTATAACAGGAATTTTTATTAAGTGCTTATTTTGTTTGTTTTGTTGTCCAAAAGTTGTAACAAAAAATTTTAGACAAGGAAAATTTAAAATGAAGTGGGCGTCACTGGATTTAATGATTAATAATTAATGTTAATATTTAATAATGAAATTAAGATCAACGAAAGATAGACAATAGAATTTGATGACAAAGCAAGTTTCCTGCCATACGGTAATACAATTGTACTTGTACATGTACACATGTACATGTACATGCAATTTAGGGATTGTGAAAGGAAGTTAGTTATTAGTAGTGGTTTTAGAATTGAGGAAGAATAGGAAGAAAGATAATAATTACATACATGTACATGTAAATATAAATTTATTGTATTTTTAGAGTATTCAATCTATATGCTAACCTAAGGCCGTGCCGATCAATAGAAGGATACAAGACAGCATATGATAATGTTGATCTTGTTACTATCAGAGAAAACACTGAAGGAGAATACAGCGGCATTGAACATGAGGTACATGTACATGTACATGTACATTGTATGTGTATAAACACACACAACTAATACTGTATAGCTGGAAAATTTTATGGTCTAAAACTTTGGCAGTTTTGTATTGAAATTGCCTAAATATAATATTGGCATCTCCTAATTTGGCAAATTTACTATCTTGTCTTTTTAAAGCAATCTCAGCTTTTCTTGAAGCTGCTCCTTTCCCACAATCTTGACTGAAATACTTCAAAAGTGGACCATTTGGAATTTTCTATCAGTGTCATGTTCTCAAGACGGAATCTGCCCATTGAAATTATTACTGATGGTTATAAATAATATTCGCAGTTTTATTTTGAACTGCCAATTTGCCAAATTTAATTCTCCACCAAATTTTCCGGCTACACAGTACCTGTTGTACATATTTCATTAATAATTATTGTTGCTGTTTTTTTGTTGTTATTGTTCCTGTTTCAGGTGGTTGATGGTGTGGTCCAAAGCGTGAAGTTGATTACTAAAGATGCTTGTTTACGTGTGGCTCAATATGCTTTTGAGTATGCTAGGAAGTCAGGGAGGAAGATGGTGACTGCAGTTCACAAGTCGAACATAATGTAAGAAAGTAATACTTCATGTAGTTCATTTGCACAAGCGTAGCCCTCTAGAGCAATTTTGTATATTAAACTATGTTAAGCAATATTAAAGCAAGCATCATAGTCAAGATTATCAATCCATGAAAATTCATTTTATTATTGTACTTGATGGTAGACGGTGTAATTTCACAAAAATTATATTTGCAATTTTGCTGCATACAAATTTTACTAGACTAATGTACAATGTACATGTAAAATGCATGTACATGTATGTGTATTTGATGCTGGAAGCATAAGCAAAAGCTTTCCTCTCCCTAATATGTAGGAGCTTGTGCTTAGTTTTTGCTTGATTTCTACAAAGTTACAAAATAACAATTCCCGAAAACTACATGTATGGTATTGTCAATTTTTGTCAGGCCCCCCTCCCTCCTTCCCTCTGGATAAAATCTTGTATAAAACCTTCTGCTAGCTACTGAATAATTATCTTTTGCTCTTTCTCTGATAGTGCAGTTTGAGTCAAGCTTTATTTCTTTTTGTGTGTTTACATAAATTTGTAATTATTGGTTTTTAGTGATAATTTCCTGGCATGACAACTTTACCACTTTATGTAAACATGTTGCTGCCTTACAGGTTTTAATCATTATTTATTGTTTTGCTATAATCTCCTCTATCAACACTGTACATGTACACATGTTCAAGTTCAAGAAAAATCACGGTACACATGTACATGTACACATACATGTACATGTGTACTGTACATGTACATGTATATGTACACATACATGTCACTAAACCCTTTTTTATTAATTCACAGGAGAAGAGGTGACGGGTTGTTTCTCAAGTGTTGCTTTGAGGTCTCTGATAAATATAAGGACATAAAATTTAATGAGATGTACCTGGACAAGGCTTGCTTATTGGTAAGAGTTTGGATACAATTTTAATGACAAATAATTATTGTACATGTACATGTATATAGCAGGGGTACATGTAATTTTGGATGGGGGTAAATTTTAGTGAATTTGGCATTTTGATAACCACTTGCCACATTAAAACTCACCATTTTGTATCATTATACACATGCTCAATGCCACATAGCCACAAATTCACTAAATTAAAACTCACCAATCATCAAAATTTTAGCAATTCACTAAAATTTACATGTACATGCATCTCCTCTGCTATATGGTACATGTACATGTACATGAATGTGCACATCGATTTTTATCATTATTTTATCATTTCCTTATTCCCTTGTTTATTAATCAACACTCTTTCTGTTTTGTCTTTTCACTCTATTATTTCTCTTTCATTCTCTCCCTCTCCAATAGCTGGTACAGGATCCCTCACTGTTTGATGTCCTTGTGATGCCTAATCTTTATGGTGATATACTCAGTGATCTTTGTGCTGGGCTGGTTGGTGGATTGGGGCTCACTCCCAGTGGTAACATAGGCAGTGATGGAGTAGCTCTTTTTGAAGCTGTAAGACCATCAATATTATAGTACATGTACATGAGAATGATAATGGAGAAAGAGACTGCATGTTTACTATAATACTGTACATGTACATGTACAGCGTATAATACAGTATGTATTTTCATCAATGTACATATACATGTAGATGTACGTGAGAATGGAGAAGAGTCTATATTTTGTACTTTTATAGTTACATTGTACATGTACATATGCATGTCAATGATTATTGTGATTTGATAGCCTTTATTGTTACAATAAAGCCCACTATAGATTTTAATGTACAATATATGTATAATACTTGGCTCATGTTTCATGACAGATGTACATGTACATGTACATGTACAATGTAGATACCAATTCGCATGATGCATGTAAAACCTAAAATTAGGCTAAAAACCCCCTTCAAAATTACCTGGTACATTATGATGGTAAATGTTCATTTCTTTTGAATGGACATTATGTGTGCCTGTACACTCATTGTACAATTTCCTAGTGTTCTAGTTTTGTGCTTGTTTATTCATTGTACTCACTTGTCTAACTAGTGTTTGTTGTCATAATTACAACTCTTACTGTGAGGTTGATCTAAGAGTGAGCGTAGGGGACATGGTGTGTACATGATATGATTGATATCCATTAATGTTGATTTTCTCCCACGTTTAACCTGAAATCTGCTTACATATACATGTACATGTATTTCTAGACACCTTAGTATATAAAGTAGCGTTAAAGTAGCGTCTATAATTACATTTCCAGATCTACCAGTACATTGTACATACATGTAAATTATACATGTACATGTAGTTACATGTAGATGTACATATACTGATAAATCTTTACTAATTTAAATACTTTTTAAGCTAAAAAAACATGTAGTTGATGCTGATAATGATAATTATCAACATGTATATGTACATATAGCTGTGTTATAATTTTTCTCCCTCCCTCCCTCCCTCTCTACCTCCCTCCCTTCCTTAGGTTCATGGTACTGCTCCTGACATAGCCGGACAGGATAAAGCTAACCCCACTGCCCTTCTCCTCAGCTCACTGATGATGCTAAGATACATAAACCTACCCGACCATGCCAAGAACATAGAGAACGCAGTCTTTAAGACAATCAGAGAAGGAAAGAAGACAACTGCTGATTTGGGCGGATCAGCAAAATGTTCAGAATACACAGCTGAAATAATACGCCATTTAAAATAGCGAGGACTGTAGCCGTAGTAGTAGTACTGGTTTAATAGATTAGTGACAGTTTAAATCATCACTCTTCATTATTGTGTGTACTTGTGTATTTGTGTAGAGTATAATGAATCAGCATTATCACTAGATATTGGTATCGGACACTTATCATCCATCATCGTTGTTTTATTATTGATTTTTAGCATTGTTGTTGTTTCTGTTATTAGAATTTAATTTTAGGATTGTGTTTTAGTAGGAAGTGCATTCCCTTGGCTTGCCTGCCAGCTGCTTAAATTTCAATTTTAAGCTGTACATGTACATGTACATGTACTTTGTTCATATACATCAAGTATCGGTATATACACTCTTGGTATATCAGTACTGTGGTTACTAAAAGTAACTTGCTTAATTAATATAGCCAATTCATAAATCAAGAAGTTTATGTACATGTAATCTTGATAAATTAGTGACAATTACATTAACAAAGGACTTTTTTGGAACATAAATGCATACAGTAGATAGATGCTTTTGTAATTTGTAAATCCCATAATAGCTTGAGCCAGCCACGCCCCATTACTTCTGCAGGATTGCCATGATGGGAGGAAGATGGTCCGCAACAGAAGAACAAGACAAACTAGAAGAGGAGGACGAGGACGAAAGCTACGAGAGGCTACACCTGCTGAGGAGACACCTCTTCCCTCTCTGTGACGACGAGGAAGTCCTGCGAGTCGCCCTCAAAGATAAAGTGAGTTTATTTTATCACTTGATAGATATTATTTTTCACTCTCTTACTTACTAAGACCAAAGGAAAAAAAAAATGTAAACCTTGTGCTCATTTTATGTAGTTAAGCCAGAAGCAAAAGTCTAATATGCTCCTTCAAATTGATATTTTCTTTCTCGTCCAATTTTCTTTTATACATGTAGTACCTCTTCTTATTTATTACAGGTCCCCTCATTGGTTTACAAGGCTGACAATGGTTTTCGATTGTACATAGGCTCTGCATTCCATGCTCAGGATCTACCATGTCTACATGAGTTGGGCATATCCCGTATTGTCAACATGGCCGCTGGGTCTCTCATGACTTCACAGGAGCTGTATGGTGAAAGCATTACCATTCTACTCATCACTGCTGAGGACATGGAGTCTTATGATCTCTCTCAGCATTTTGATGAAGTAACGGATTTTATTGATAAAGGGAAGGAGGAAGGAGCTGGAGTGTTTGTACACTGTATGGCTGGTGTGAGTAGATCAGTCACCGTATCTGTTGCTTTCTTAATGAAATAGTAAGAATAATATTGAGAGAGAGCTGAGAGAGATAGAGAGAGAGTGAGTGAGAGAGAGAGAGGGAAAGAGAAAGAGAAAGAGAAAGAGAGCTTCTTGTAGAAACAGAGGATACAGGAAGAGAGAGAGAGAGATAGAGAAAGATTATTATAGCATATTATGACTGAGTTATTATAGTATATTACTATCCTAATATCTCCAATTACTATGTGTAGACATAAACATCCTGGCAGCTATAAGGTATTAGTCCCATATGTATACACTACTGGTACTATGAAAAATTCAGACCTACAGTTATCAGCTATCAAGAGTAGACTTGGTCCCTATTTATAAATCTTACACTTATGTTTTTGTATCCCATTAAATGTTATTGGAGTTATCATAGACTACTGTATAGCTGGAAATATTTGTTGGAATTTAATTTTGTTGTTTGTTGTTCATCATAAAAATGCACAGTTTAATTCCGCAAAGCATTATAAGTAATGGGTGTATCAACAGTTTACGTCTACACCAGCAAATTAAATTCCGCATGCATTAAAATTTGCTTTTTTGTATGAAATCGCAAAATATATTTCGTGCAAACTTTTCCAGCTATACGGTATTAAAACTGATGTAAGCCTGTACTAATCTATAGTCATATATCGTAATTATGGCACATGTAGTCTGTAAAAAGTACTATTAGCTAGCTCTGTGTGCACAAACATACATGTAATGTGAGTATGCTTGCTGGTTGCCTTATACTATGTTAATATTGGCATTGTAACAGTTTAAACTGTTTAAAGTGGGTCAGCACAATTTGATTTGATAGTTTAAAGTTGCCCAACTGAGCTGAGCCAGCATGCATGGTTTGTACAGACAGCAGAGCCAGTTCAACCTGTTTAATCCACTTCTGTATTATAAACATAGTATTAGAATGAAATGTTTTGATTTCTTGGCTTTGTTTGCTATACATGGAGCAGCTCACGGGCAGTGTGTAAGGCATGTGGCAATGATTGTTTACATTATGTGTATATACTTAATGTGTTCTGGAGCCATGGAACATGAGGATTGTATTTATTGTGAATTATTCTTTAGCATGCATTTGGCAAACACAACGATAAAAGAGATAAATATCATAAATAAATCAAAACAGAATTTTTATGATTATTTTACTTTAAGATTTGACCAAAGGCCATGAACGTGGTCTTGTTTTTCTAAAATCACCCCAAGTTTCTTGTTACATTTTCTGGTACATATTGATGTACTGATGCTATGTAGAAAGTTTGAACTGATTCTGAGCACAAATTTTTGAGTTATAACCATTATTTTAAATTGACTGAAATCCAAAAAATACCCTGTACTATAGCCCATGGTTTTTCCCAAAAAATGGCCCCAAAATCACCCCCAATTTTTATTACATTTTTGGATACATATTAATGTACTGATGCTATGTAGAAAGTTTGAGCTGATTCCGACTACAAATTTTCGAGTTATGTCCATTTTGAAATAGGCCAAAATCTGAGAAATACCCTTTACTATAACCCATGGTTTTTTCCAAAAAGTGGCTCCAAAATCACCCCAGTTCTTATTCATTTTTAATTACCGTACTTGCCCCAATTAACACACCCTCCTAATTATTGCTGCTATTGCACCTCTACATGGCTTCCACAATAAAAACTTTCTATTGAGTGTGCGCACCTCCTGGTCAATTATTTTTGAGAGGTGGGTTGTAATTAGAAAGGTGTATTGCCTACTTAGCTAAGCACCTCTCTAAACAAGCACCTCCTGGAGCATTTCATAATTGTTCCTATCTAAACAATTCACCACCTGAGACATGTACCATTTATCAAGAGGTGTGTTAATTGGGGCGAGTATGTTAGTCTTATAAGGTCACTGCAGTTTGATTCATAATTTCCTGCCTGCACTGATGAATCTGGTTTTGATGTGGTTTGCATTGATAGCATAGGCATAGGAATGATTCACATGTTGGGAGGGGGCTCAACATTAAAAAGCATGACTTAGCAATGTGAACATGGGGGGGGGCTAAGCCCCTCTTGCTGAAAAGTTGGGGCCCCCCATTCCTACGCCTATGGATAGACATAATTCATGCAGTTTATACAAGTGATAATGAATGATAATAAGCTATACATAAATAGTTCTATCATTAATCATAATAATTAATTACACTGCCTGCCCACTTACTTATGAAATTAGAAACTCTAAATATGACCACATAGTCTATAGCAATGGCTGATAATGAATAATGTACACTATATGTACAAGTTACTAATTTCAGTAGTGGATTCATTATTGTTTTATTTTGATTCATTTCTGTAGTTGTAATATGACACTATCAGAAGCTGCAAGACAAGTCCACAGTAACAGACTCCTTGCTTGTCCTAATGTTACTTTCATGAGAAACTTGTTTAACCTTCAGAAGCAATTAAAAGAAGAAAAACAAAAGAAGGTCCTGGGGAAATCTTGATAGAAGAATCACACATTAATTCGCTGCACACCATTATATTATAATTATTTAAATTAAATTAATTATTGTTGATAAAAATTATTGTTTTTTCAGTTCACAATAACATTTTAATTAATTGTTGCTTGTGGGCGTTTCAAAGTAGGTGTGGCTCAAAATGGGAGCAAGCAGTTCCAGTGAACTTCCCTGGAGCAATGGAGCGAGTCTCTCTGCTGGAAGGGAAGGGGAGCCTATGGGAGAGAAAGAAGAGAGAGAGTTACAGAGTCTAAGGGACAAGCTTTTCCCTCCAGGAGACTCTAAAGATTTCCTCAAAGACAAAGTACAGTATGTATACACATTGATTAAAAGATAGGCATTTACTAGTCTGGCTGGTCCAGACCCTCTGCAGAAGGTCTGGATCAGCCAGAGGCCATAGATACTCTAATCAGTAGAGTTGAGTATATATACTGTCTAATGTTGGGCAGAGACAGTATTGAATAAGTTAAGCCCTTATATCTATTGATATACATGTAGTGCCTGCCTAATCTAAAATTTATTAATCCTACCCTTTTATTTCAGTCGCCTTCACTAGTTTATTCAGATGCAAATGGATTCAGGCTCTATGTTGGCTCAGTTATTCATGCAAACAATGTGCCAACACTACAAGAGATTGGCATAACTCGTATTGTTAATATGGCGGCCACTGATTCTGTTGCTACCTCATCATCAAAGAGTCAAGATTTTAAGACATTGTTGATTGGTGCATCGGATTTGAAATCTTATGATCTCTCTCAGCATTTTGATGAAGTAACAGATTTTATTGATAAAGGGAAGGAGGAAGGAGCTGGAGTGTTTGTACACTGTATGGCTGGAGTTAGTAGATCAGTCACTGCATGTATCTGTTGCTTCCTTAATGAGATAGTAAAGATGATATTGAGCATTTGAGTTTGTATTGTTTGTGTTGCCTATTGTTTACATTATCTTGTTTATACCTTCACATGTAAACAGGGGTAAAAATTAATTTTGATTTTTTCCATTGTGTTTGTTTTTGTTATTTTTTTAGTTGTGGTATGTCACTGAGTGATGCTGCTCGTCAAGTGCGTAGTCACAGGCTACAAGCCTATCCTAATGTAAGATTTATAAAGAGCTTATTGCAACTAGAGAAACAATTAAAACATGAAAGGAAATATAACTGTTTTTATGACATCAAATTACATGTATGACAAAATGTATCATGTACACAAACACTTGCTTTAATTTTGAAATCATTATTAATTTTTGTGTAATTTTGATCATTTTAAATAGATACAAAATGGAAATGCATTTGAAATTTTGAAATAGATCTAGGTGTGGTTAAATTTAGACTTTGATTGTTTGGATGTAAATTTCTTTCTATCTAGGTCTATTTATGAAAGACATCAAAGTATGTTCTGTGGGAACAATGTTTCAGCTAAATTATATTTATTATTGCAAAATTCATTCACAGTAGATAGATATGCTAATATTTTGACCACACCATGAATTTTAGATTAAGTGCGTATTTTTTTAGTCTCCCCTCCCCCCCTTGATAAAGCAAAGCTCGAGCTCTGTGTGGTCGAAGCAAAGCATAGTAGACTACAAACACGCAAGTGATGGCAACTGGGTTGGACTGCCCTTTGCATATCTATGATGGAGATATTATTCAGCTTTATTGTCCAAATGAGTCTGGTTATGTTTACAGTGAACCAAGAAGGTAGATCTATCTATAAAATAATGCAATCTTTTTTATCTTTATATATACAGTCCACAAAAAGAGTCTGATGCTATAGTTATTTGTAGTAAAGAAGACTTTTTACTAAATGACTGTAAGAAAATATTGTCAATTAATAATTTTGAATTATATTTTAGTTACTGAGTTTTGCATAACTCTAAAGAAAGTATCAGATGAAAAATTACATTCAGAATGTGGTGTACAAGTGGTGGAAAGGATAGCTTATGGCAGTATAGTATATGTTAGTATGATATTGAGTAATGATTAAAATGATTGTTGTATCATTTCATATTGTAGTTGGAACACCAAGCATCTATGAAATTTATGACAGTGCATGATGAAAATGTAAATTGCATGATTGATTAATACAAACCTAGTCATTAATTAGTCTTATGCATTATTTGTGCTATAGAATGTGAGCCTTTTGAAGCTCAATACACAAGGCAAAGTAAAGGTACACTACTGATATGCATGGGCAAGTACATTATAAATCTAAATTTATTATCATTATCTTTAGAATTCTGGCATCCAAGGGGACAAGAAGGTATTTTCATGTTCATAAATTCTTAGTAATAGTTTTCTTCAAGAAAAAAATGTTTAGAATTTTGTCTCCTTGCCAAAAGCTTGCCTGGGGTAAAGAGGTAATTGTGAAGCTTTGTTAATTTACTTTTAATTGTGTACAACATATTTAAATTACAGCTTAAGAACAATGATGCATTCATGCTTGAAAGCATTTCTTGCGATAGTTTAATGGTGCATTTTAGCTACAATCCTCAAGATAATGGGTATGTTGCAGTAAACTGGGTTTTGTCACTTTGAAACTAATTATAGTTATAAACCATCACTAAAACCAATGGGAACTGTGTTTATCATCAATTTGCACTGTCATATGCGCTTAAAACAGAATCCAAAAAGCATAAAGGTAAAAGTAATCTGACAGTTGCCTCAAAGTGACTTACCTTTTTATTTTATAGGGAGGAAGTTTAGTTTATTTGGCCTCTCTTTTAGAAATGGAGGCATATATACATGGCACTGGATCTTTTATCAGTAGTAATTATAGTGTCACTAAAGGTGGTCATGCTATTGAAGAGCCTCATGAATTTAAAAACCCAAATCTAGGTCCAGACTGGCAATTACTTGAATGTATTTCAGAAACTTCAAAAGGTTTGTGTTCCCATTTTTGTATGGTAAGATTATATTTTCCAATAGTTGGCTTAATCAAGTTTAATGAAGGAAATTTTAAGATGTTACCACAATTGGGTGATACGTTTTTTAAAATAGAAAAGGTTTCTGAAGAGCGGGCAGGTAATTAATTTGTTCAGGGGGTGTTACTTGCATAAATTTTGTAACAGTTTCACTAATAATAAACAAATCAATAGTTATACCTGCTGCATCCAAAACAAGACTATGGAATAGAAGTGTACACTGTAGATCTGACAATGTGTGAAAATTTACGAGATTTATGAAGCAGAAATTTCTGTGTATGGAGGTGTACATAACTATAAAGCTTAATATTTTGTAATCATGTTAAGCATTTGACACCCTGATTTGATTTCATTGACTGCAGTTGCTTTGAAACAGCAGATTATAATAATAATGCAAGTGACATGCCTTGAAGTTGCAATATGTTTTTGTGATCATAACAATACATAAATAGGTGATCCAATTCTGTTTGGAGAGCAATGTCGAATTAGGCACTTATTTACATTGAAGTATATCTGTGTACATGAAAAAAATAATGTTGTTAGTCTGTATAATTTTTAGTATTTATTTTACTGTGATATAGATTAATATTGTACTGTGTGATAAGGAATGCGATCATGGTAGATCTATATTTAAAATTTTACCTGTTTCTAATCCAGCTCATAAAGTATGCAAAATTTATTTTCTAAATGCTACAATTTATTAGAAAGAAGTTTCTTGTTCTGATAAAGTCATTTTTGAAAATATAAAAACTTCAACGATGTATCTCTCTGTCAATTGTTAGTGGTTGTAGTGTAGTCATGATTAGAATATTGTTATTATTTTAATTACAGTAAAGCCTCATTCATTAATGGACCAGGCAGCAATAGACCAGGCAGCAATGGACCAGGCAGCAATGGACCACCCAGTAAAAATGTTCAATTTAGTTGAGATAAATGATTAAGCTCTATTGTTTTTTGTATAGCTTACTCTTTGCAGAGATCGTGATGTGTCACGAAATCAGTTTGAAATTTTACAGGTTTTTTTTGTACATGGATGTCATAATAATTATGTAAATATATATAGATTGAGGATTATCTTGTTTTGCGTAGCTATAAATATATGGTGATTGGCTCCTTGTTTAAAAAGTTAGTAATGTTGCCATGTAATAGTTTAAGACGGTTCTGAAAAAATTAGGTCTCAAAATGTGATCAAAGACATAACCAAATTAAAAAGTGAAGAAGAAATTTCAATGATGAGAAAGGTAGATTAAATATTAATTAATACCGTTTCAGCAAATCTAACATTTAGCTCATGGGAGATGAAATATTTGAAGCAATAAGAAAACATGATGAGTAAGTTATAAAACTTAACCAATTGCTAAAATATACTAATGTATTATACTAGACAACCATTGAGCTATGACAAGCAAAACGAGGTACTAGCTAAATATTTTATCAGATATTTTAATTAATTCAATAATAGAAAAATGATGAAATTGATCTGCATATTAAAAGTTTGATAAAATGTTATGTGCATCTACATTGTAATCTGAACATTTAGAGATAATATATGAAAAAATATGGAAACACACAGAAGAATTAAAATTAATTGCTACTATTTTATTGAAAGATAATATTGAAATGTTGACAGAAAAAGGTTGAAATAATTACTGTTATAGTACAAATTTTTAGCTCAAAAATAGGTGAAATGAGAACTAAAATTGAAAAACAGATGACCTGCCTTGAGAATTATTTTAAACAATGTGAGACTGGTGTTTCTACTGCTAAACAATCTCGTGATCAAGTTGCTATTGATATTGAAGTAATTAATGATCCTCAAGCTCAGGAACTATTACAATTGTTTCACCTGTTTTATAAAAAGCATGAACTTTCTGCAAATGTGAGTGTCAGTGCAATTATAATACACGTCGTTACATATATTTTTATTGAAATCATAAATTGTGTAACTTGCATTTATTTTTAGTATGATGAAAAGGATAAATCAGCTGAAACAAGGTGAGTGTGATTTGTTAAATTGGTGTCTTGGATTAGGCTCACAAACCTAAATATATAATGCATTATAGCCTAAAATTTTGTGCCACGTACAAACATGTAAATTTTAATTTATAATATTTGCAAAATATTATTTTTTCTCTGCAAAATTGTAGGCTACAGTACATTACGGTAATACCTAAAATATTGCTTTTTATTTATGCGAGTATGTCAGCAACAACTAATAAATGTTAAAATATATACATAAATGTTTGTGTAAGTTATAATGAACTCTATATTAGTGAAAACAAAATAATGTACAAATTTATTGACCTGTAATTCAATTCAAGTATTAAAATTTTTAGGGATTTGTCAGCAGAAAATCAGCAAAAATTGTGCAAAATCCTATCTCAATTAATTAGTATTGAAAAATCAGACATCAGTTACATGAGTGCATGGCTTCTTTTTGAAATCTACACAAAAGGAAAGAGTCATTCTACTGAAGACTCTAGAAAAGAGGAAAGGAGTCACTCCAGTGACTCCACTGAAGATTCCTGGATAAAATTGCAGCTATCCACAATGATAGCAAAGGGAAATTCACTGCTTAAGCAAATACTGACATCATCAATGGATGCAGATTCAATTGAAGAATTAAATAAACTGGCTAAGTCTTGTATAGATCTACATGAGGTTGAAGTTCCTGAACCAAATCATGCGAGACAAACAGAGGCAGTGGGACAAACAGAGGTACCAAATTTTAAAAGACAGATAGAGGCACCAAATTTTGAACGACAGACAAAGGCATTTGAATCTGGTAAATTTTTGAATAAAAATGTTTATAGTTCTATCAAATGTTGGGGCAGGATTGTTTCATATTATTCTTGAATATTCTCTACGACACAAAGCTGAAACAGAAGTACTTGAAAGCTGTTTTAAACTGTTGCAAGGAATTTGCACATTAAACAAAAAGGTAATTAAAATAATAAGATTCTCACCTATTCATTTTTAATAATAGGTTCATTGTGAACTATTTATATATTTGTATGACTTTCTTCAATTTGAGCAAGTC